TCCTCTTTCTTCTTTAACTTTCTACAAGCCGATTTCCTGGCAGTAGTGGACATAGGTGGTACCCATGGCAGTTGTGAATCCACTCTGGGTTTCAAGCCTGACCTTTCAGGGAGCTCTCCATGGTGCTGAACTAAATTTGATGGTGTTGGGGGTATATTTCAGCATGTTGGACAGCTCCTGCGACGTTTAGAGTTAAATTGACCCTCGGATCGCTCCCACAAAGTTGGGAACATAACTCAAAGGTGATTCACGGCCCCAAGGATATGAATACTATCGAGACTGCACTGCACCTACATGCTTTATAGGAGGTGAGGCTCTGCAGCTGGGATTTTTTTAAAAAAAATCTCAAATTTCCCAGTGTTTCTCTTTGTCACAACAGAGTAAATTCACCTCTCAAACCGATAAGAAAGAAAAAAGAGCCGGCCCTGCCGTTGAGTCAAGTGAGTCAAGCTGCACCGTCCCAAGGATGCCCCCTAGTGGAAGGAAAAGGGAAACCACTTCTGAGTATATCTGGAAAAGCCTGAAAAAAATTGCCATAAGACAAAACTGACTTGTTGGCACAGGATCAATATTATACGGCGTGGTTTAGCTGGCTGGATAGCTCAGTGGTTTAGGTTGTGAGTTCGAATCCCACCCCCACTAGGTCTCGTGGGAGAAGAGCCAGCCTGGGTCACCTTGGGCCAGCTGTACCATCCCAAGGTTGCCCCCTAGAGGAAGGAAATGGGACATCACTTCTGACCCTAAAAAGGGTCATCATACATCAGGACTGACTTGAACTGAATTTTTATTATTATACTATTTTTGGGGTAAACATCTGCACATACCCCCAGTCCACTAAAAGTTATTCACTTGTTTCAGAGCAGCAAAGTTTAAGGTGACAAATTATGGTACACGTATCCCTCTAAATAAAGGAATTCATTTTAGCAGGGTCATTTTTTTGATTCATCATTAATGGAATATCCAATGTTTCCCAAGCCCCCCACCCCATCCAGGGCTGTCTATGTGTGGCATAAGATCCGGAAATGCGTGTGTGTGTGTGTGCATAATCCCTGGTGGAGTAAAAAGGTTGACAAGCAGCGTCTTGATAACTTTCGGCTTTGTCGAGGGCTTGGCGTCCCTGCGGTCCTGTAATATCAGCTCCTGGCGTCTGCCGCACAGCATCGAACACGAGGACCAAAGTCCCCAAAGGAATGACAAATGTCACGGCACAGATTCTGCGCTAGGAACACAGATGTGCATCGCTTTCCCGCATCCGCGCATGGCATCCGCGCTTCCCCCGGAAGAGAGTTACAGATGGATCGCGGGCTTTAAAAAAATAAAAATTGGGAGCAGTTAAAATACAGCTGTCCTGTAATTTTTATTTCCCGGTTTATAAAAACGCAGCCGAGCGAAGAGGTGGCGCCACCCGCTAGTTTTTTTTTCATTTCAGCTGGTTTCCACGGCCTTCCTCCAGCTGCTGATGTGCGCGCCTTTCTCCCTTGCTTTGATCTATGAGTTTCCTGCAGAAATAGGGCTTATAAATCATCGTAATGCAACCCGGGGAAAGCCGGTGCTTAGTGCCGGGAAGAGATACATCGTGGCTAACAGCCACAGCAGGGAAGAAAAATCAGAGCTCGGAAGAAAAGGTTCCAAGACAGGTTATACTGATATAATGTTTGAGTTCTTATTTTATTTTTTTTAAATTTTTTTAGCCGTGCACCATAAGGGGCAAGGCCATAGGGAGCCATCCCCTGCACCCCGGTGCAATAATTCAAAAATTCTTTTCCGCCATCTCAAGTCAAACCGCTTGCCGGGGGGAAAGCTCACCTTCGGGAAGGTGGCGAGCGTCCGGCCCTGCCCAAGAGCAGAGGCGAATTAAGCCGCTTCGGCAGATTAAAAAGGGGAACCTTTTTTCCTTTGTTTGTTAAGGTGTGTGTTTTTTTTTTAAGCGTTCAGGACTGAGCCAAAATAAATAAATAAATAAAAGAATAGGCCAGATTGGCTGTTTACATGCCTTCCTTTCACTTGGGAATATTTAAGGGTGTTTTGTTTTTTTCTCTCCTCCCAAATGTTGTTTATTCTTTCTTTAAAAAGCAACTTTCTTCTCCATCCACTTCTGCCAGCTTCGATTTGTTTTTCTCGCCAAAGCGAAGATGTATCTGTACATAGTTCCATCGTCATGGATAGACCATTATCTGGTGACGTCTGGACTCTGGAACCGAAGACCCTTGGCAGGGGTGGGGGACGGACTAAGATAAGGATGATGGCTCCAAATGGTCTCCTGGTGGCTCTAAAGCGCCAGGGTGTAAAAGCAAGTCGTACCTGGATGTTCCAAAGTCAACAAGTAAATGAGTCTTCTCCTCCATTTACTTACAGGAGCTATCCGGGGTGCTGATATTATTTAGGGGACAGGATCCAGCATCTCGAGTAGCTGCTGTAAAGGTCAAACTAAAAGCCGGAGTGGATTCACCACTCTATTGATGTAGGAACCACCAGCGTCCAGGGAGGAGATGATGGACCTCTTGTTTGCACATTTTTAAAAGGCGGGTCTGTACAGGAAGGGGAAAGAGAGAAAATGAGATTCAAAGCAAAATAATAAAGGTGTACTCTCCTTGTGCAATGATGCCGATCCACTTTGCAAAACCACGAAAGCACCAGGCATTTCCCCTTGAGGCTTCATTTCTTGTCCCCCCCCCGGTCATTAAATGCCGAAACCGTAAAGCAAAATCTACGGTTTGCTTTAAAAAAGCCAGGTGATTTGCATATGGGTGGCAAACGCTACCTTTCGCTTAAAACCTGGCACTCCCACCCTTCCGCGGATAAATTATGGCTTATTTTATATTTAATACACTGCACTGTGTTAACATAATTCTATTAAGAGGCTGACTTCACAGAATAATTGCCGGCCGTTGGTGCAGAAGGCTGAGTTTGCTGAAGGATTTGTCTGTGCATGGAGGTCTGTCAAGGGCCAGAAGCTTAGCGAAGCTGAATCGGAGGCCCGATCGCAAAGGCTCAGCCTTGTGACCGGGGAAAAGTGGACAGAATGCAAGTTTTCAATGACAAACCTTACGTTCTACAACCCTTATCGATGTCATGGGGATGTTCAACGGCCTTGGCCATTCAACCTTCCATGAGACTCAGATCCCTCGCCGGTAATACGAGAATAAAAATCTGTCGCGGTTTACAGACGTTGCGGCTAGCGTTGCTGAGGTCACGGGAAGTGGGGTGCTCCGGGTTTCGCCTTGAACTTTTAAGAGGCCAAACCTATTGTATGGGTGTGGTTCAGCACTTCGGACAGCTCCCGTAAGTTTCCGATGCATTCCCTCTTCTGCCACCTCATCGTTGTGAGGATCCGGCCTGCACCGCCCTGGCAGTGGCAGGATCGGGGCCAGCCTGACCAAGGTGTTTGCAGGATCAGACCCTGGCCTGGGCCACTCATGAGGCTCACCTGCAAACCTGGAGGGAAAGCTATTTAAGGAGCGGTTCTCTCTCCCAGAACTGGCCTCAGCAACAGAGGTCTTCTGTCATACTGTGGTGGACTGCCTTGCTGCTTGGACTTTGAAAATCATCAGCCTCTGCTTGGGTGTACAGAAGGACCCCTGCATCCATGGGGGAATCCATTCCAGCTGTGGATACTGAGAAACACAGATAAAGGCAAACACTCTACCAAGCATGGTCTCTGTTTCCATCTAGTGGCTGGTTTTGGTAATGACATCATAAAATATATATTTCTCTAGTGAATGCTATGCATAGCATGATCTCTTGCTCCCTCTATTGGCCAGTTCTGGTATTGTCATCTTTAGAAATATATATATATTTCTAGAATGTTTTAATATTTTTAGACCGTGAATAAGGGAATTGGTAGATAGTGATCCTACAGCTACAGGGGCCCTACTGTACCTTACTTCTTGAGATAATACATGTGGTGTGTTTTGATCGCTTAATATTGACCAAGTGTAGCAAGAAAGGAAAGAGATGGAGCGCGCTGCCAGGCAACGCAGGGCACGACAGCAAATGCCTACGTTGATTTCTTCATCAGCAGCAATTCATCCATGGGATCTATGCCGCTTGAAATAAATTGGTGCAAAACCTCAAAAATCATTCTGGTCTGGGTTAAGGAATCACAGACTCTTCTTCCTGATCCAGGGAAATCAGAAGCGTGAAGCTTTCAAAAGCTCTTAAGAAAAATCACACAACCCTTTCTGGCTTGTATTTAGAAGTAAAGAGATTCTTTGCATGGAGATAATAAGACCTGGTTTTGCTCCTTTCAATTTGGGGGCAAAACCAGGTCTTGTTTATCTTCCTCCACTTCCGCTTACCGAAGCCAGATCTTCTCACGGCGATCCTCAAGTCACTGGTTCGAGTCTCGCTGTGGGCGATGATCGAAACTAAATCAATGTCATCAGGAACCTCTTGTATCCCATAGGCAAACCACATCCGGCTCCCATCCTTAAGAGATGTTTTCTCCGAGTCCCTGCGAAATCTAGCTATATATCTGTTGCTTTGCTGAGGACGAGGTTGAAAGAGGGTTTATGGTTTGCAAAATACAGCTGCAGTGCCTCAAATTAGATGGGAGGGAAAAAAGGAAACCCTGGTAATTTATTATGCTTCTAAATTTACAAGATTGGGTCCATAAATTATTTTTCCCCTCCTTCCTGAAGCTGAGGAAAGGGTGTAGAAAAGCTGTCATTGGGCTTGTGTTGTGAACTACTTATTACTTTCATAATTTATGATTATTACGCCACTCTGCAAACCCAGAAGCCGATAAAACCCCAAATCTATTAAAACAACTGCTCAGCTTTCTTCAAGCCACGGAGGGAATGCCATCCAAAGAAAGGGGGATAAATTACTCCAGCTGATATACCTGACGCTGAAGTTATCGAGAGACTGTCAGCTACCCCATAGCGTTTTTTTTTTTAAAAAAGGTAATGAAGGAAAAGACAAGTGGCTTGAGGTCAGAATTCAGCAAAACGAGCAGGATGAAGCAGGAATAAAATAGCGTTTTTCATTTGGGGAAGTAAAACTTTGACATTCAAGAGTTTAAGGTCCTGGGTAATTGCTGCTGAATCTCGTTTAGAGCTTGGACTTTTTAAAATGAATGGATTGCACTACAGTAGGACCCCTGTATCCACAGGATCCGTATCCGCTGACTCCCTTATCTAATTTCTAAAAACATTAAAAGAAAAATTCCATAAATATACAGTATATATTTTTAAGATGACGTTACCAGAACTGGCCACTAGTCATATATATTTTTAAGATGACATTACCAGAACTGGCCACTAGTGGGAGCCAGAAATGATGTAAGTATAGAGACTTGAGATGTTTACTTCTTGGACTACGACTTCCATACTCCCCAACTGGACTTCCCAGTTCCAGTCTTCGAACCAGCTCCTACAAGGGGTGTAAATGTTATTTTTTATGGGTTTTTTCCCCCAAGACAGGTGGCTCTTAAGTGTGACACAGGTTTAACGTCTGCCACCCGGAGGAGTCCGGTGTTCTGAACATCTGCTCGCAGGGGAACGCCGAGGCCAAAGTTATCACAACAGCTGTGGGTTCGAAAGAGGAGCACAATCACAGGAGGGGGGGAATACCACACCACCCAAGGCAGATTCGTAAGGCGATAAATTTTGCAAAACAGCTCCCATAAAAACAAGACCGAGACGGGTGGAAAGAGGGTAGAGGGAGAAAGCCACTTCTAGGCACAAGGAATTGTTCTTTATGTAGAAGGCATGTAGGACTCCCTTCTTTTTAAACAGGGCAGGACGGCCTGCTTATAAGCTGCAATTCGAAACCAAATTACACGCGAAGCGGTGGCGATGATGAGAAGAACTCCATTCGAAGGAAATAAACTCGTTGGCAAGTCTTTGAGTCCGAGTCCTGAGTTCGAGGGCGAATCTTTGGGACCGAGTCCCGGGTTCAAGTCAGAGTCTTTTGTACCAAGTCCCAAGGAACTCGAGCGAAGGGTTTCACCCTTTGCATGTGACCAAAAGGGAGCCTTTAAAAAATACTCTTAAACCCGGGCACACCCCCTAGAATTTGTCTTTGCATTTCAATCAGCTCAAAAAAACCCTTTCTCAACTTGCTTCCTTGAGATTGTCTGGAAACCACTTCCCCCAGTGCCTAATGAGCGCTGGCCTGTTCATGGCCCCAAGGGCCCCCCCGGGAATGATGGGAACTGTAGTCCTGCTATCACTGAGTCAAAGGACTGAAAAGTCACAGATAAATCTACCAGGTTAAAGTCTGGAGCCTTAAACGGCTCTTTAAACAGAAGAAGACAGAAATCGGGGCCAGAAATCCAACCACCGCCATGTCATTAGCCTTCCTCCGTTTCCGCTCTTTGTCCCATTAGCCCTCGTCAGGAGGAGACAAGCAATTTTAATTAGCAGCTTGGTTGAGCTTTGTTTAGGCCGGCCACCCCTCCTTGTGGCTTATAAATCCAATACCTTATCATTACAGTGACTAGAGGCGGGGAAGAAAGAGGATCTTGGCGGATAATCAATTAAGGCTCTCCCACGATGTCCTTCGGCCTCATCCAGGGCATAACTCAAGCGTACTATTGAGTTTATAACAGCTTGCGGCTGTTACGAGGGCGAGATATAACTTTAGGGGACAAGCGTTAACACAATGCAGTTACATTTAATGTATTTCAGAGGTAAGCTAACGACAAGTTACCATATTTTTTCCCGTGTATAAGACTCCCCCGTGTATAAGACACCCCCCACTTTTCTAACCCAAAATTAAGAAATCTTAAGTGGGGTTTAGCAAGTGTAGGGGGAAAGGGATCAAAGCGCTGCAGGATCGCTTTGATCCCTGCTTTCCCCTCCACTTGTTTTTGTTCTCTCCTCAGCTTCCATGTTTAAGACGACCCTCAAATTTTAGTCTAAAGATTTTAGACAACAGTCTTATACACAGAAAAATATGATATTTTACTGGTGCCATGAGTAACATTTTCTAGTAACTTCAAAAAGTTACTTTTGCGGTGGTGGCTGGCGACCCCCTTTTTGGGAGGCAATGAAAGCCAATATATGCCGCAATTCACAGGAACAGTTCAAGCCATTAAACTTTCATCTCCAAAATGATGTGCTTCCCCATCCTGTCCCTCTTGGCGGACTTGAATGGCCATGTACATCTTCTGCCCTTCCAGATGTTTTAGAGGGGAGGGGGAACCTTGTTCAACACAGGAGGGAGCACAAAATGACCGACAACCACCATCAAGACACCGGTTGGCCAACGGCAAGCTTAAGAGGTTAAAAGAAATCAACAAAAGCTGATGGCCGCACAACCCTATCTTTAAGACCCTGCCAGAACTCTGTGTGGTTTTTTTGCTGCAATCATCCTAACACAGTGACCCCCATTTCGAAGGAAGGGGAACAGAAAACAGCTCTACAAAACAAGACGGAGAACCCATTCGTACAGATTTCTGTTTGGTTAACAGCCTCGCTGGAGTTTTTTATTATTATCCTCATTTTCAAGACTCCCCAAACTTTAAAATGGCTCCTTACATCCGGATGAAGAAAGTTGGGATCGTACGAAACAATAAAGAGTGATACCATTAAAAAAGGACTTGTCGTTAAGAGGAGCAGCTGTTTGCATAAAATATAATTAATCTCTTACGATACCAGCCCCCCCCCGGTTCTCGTGTAGCCATATGCTTTATGACAACTCTAAGCCATCTTGGCTATTAACTCTTTTTTATTTTTTATTTTGAGGCAACGCACACCATATTTTCCGACTCTGCTAATAATCACCGTTATCTCCTCATTATCTTATTTAGATGGCATCATTTCCAGAAATGATTGTTTGGGGCCGCTTTGTCCCGTCTTCCTCTCCGCCTCCGTGGCGTTAAAAGTGGTAACTGACAAACCCAATTAATCGCAGGTTCGGCCTTCGTTAATGGCGCAGCAAGCTCCTGCACCCGATCTTAATGGAGTTTTAATTTCCCCATGGCAAGTCAATATTAGCTCAAAGCAGGGAACCGTAAGGAAGAGGACCGGCTCAACCCCCAGAAATGCAGTTGCTAAAAGGGCTGAGGAAGCAAGGCATATAAACATATAACTCCGTGTGGATCATAGAATGATGGAGTTGGAAGGGGCCTCGAAGGTCATCCAGTCCAACCCACTGTCTTTCCTCTGAGGGCTTGGTTTCCAGTCCCCTGATCATCCTCCTTCTTGCCCTCCTCTTGCTCCAGTTTGCATCCTTCTTAAAGGGTGGTGTCCAGAACGAAACACAGGACTCAGCACCTAACTCGTCTTGAACAGAGGGGAAAGAGTACTTCTCAGGATTTGGAAAACAGATTTCTGCAAATGCATTGGCCATTTTTGCAGCCGCATCACGCCGTTGGCTCATATTTAGTTTGGGATCGACGACAATCCCAAGATCTTTCTTGCTCGTAATATTACCTGGAAGTCATTACTTTTCAAGGGCCTAAGCATACAGTTTGCCAGTGCCTTAATGTGGTGTGTGTGTGTGTTACCTCCTGAGTAAATCTGCCATCTTGTGCTTCCCACTTCTATGGATTCTTCAGATGACTGTCGATTGCTTAGGTCCTTCCTTCCGTTTCCTAAGACTGTCTAAGGACGCCACCCTTCTCCGTTCCCCGTTTTTCCATCTACTTTTTTTCCCCGCAATCTCTTCTATCATCGTAAGTCTGTCCAAAAACTGATGTTGCTCGTTCTGTTGAAAGATGGTTTCATTTTCTGCTCAAAATTGCTAGGCAGACAGGTTGGGGGGGGGGACACACGAGCCCTCGCTTTGGTGAATGAATGTTCTGTACGCAACCTGACACGTCTGTTCTCCTGACAGAAATAAAAAGATAACGCCAAGTAGCAGCGCTTAAAACAGATTTAACAAGGCAGCCGAAATGGAAGCAAACAAAAATGTACATTTCCACTGAGGAGACGGGATGGGCAGGATTAAACCGTCGTTGTTGTTATAGACTCCAGAGTCATGGGCCGGCAAGGTGATCGAAATCGGCCTTATTACTTTGGGGCCTTTGTGTGTGGATGTAAGAAATGAGAAGTATTTTGGTGTTTTTTTTTAAAAAAAATCTTTTCTTCTTAACCATCAAAACTGTTTTTCTAAGTTAAACGGAAGGCATGTCTAAAAACACAGGACGGAATATATCAGTGATCCCGAAGGACAATTTTAATGGTTATTGAGAATTCCCAAACAACGTCCTCGCCAATTTTCTTCCAAAACCACTCATATCCTTGAGGGACAGAATCGCCCCTAAAACGATGTCTAATCTCAGGTCTCACCTAAGGCAAAAGGACTGGTCAGGGTGGTATCAGAGAAGTGTGACGGGGAAGGGCCGGGAAGAAAGCAAGCAAGGGAGAAATATCATCATCTTCAAATAATAGAATCTGGGAATGATGGAGATGGAAGGGGCCTCTAAGGCCATCTAGTCCAACCCCCTGCTCAAGGCAGGAATCCCA